TTTAAGATTTTGCTTCAGGAACCGATCAGTACTGAGTAAATTCATTTACTCTGATGACCTAGGAATTAAAAACCTAGTTAGTGCGATATTCTTATGAAGGCTGCCTCCTCATAACTTCATAAAATTACTATCCTTATCATATGTTAGTTTCCACGTCTTCCACCTGCTCTATCACTCCTACTTTCATGATATTAAATAGTTTCTCTCCTTCTTGCTCTCTTTGTCTTTTCCTTTCACTCATCTTTCTAGCAAATTAGCTACATGTCTTTTCAATACATGGCGGTTAGGAGGCTGTACTGACGATTCCCACTCCTACCCGCATGCATAGTCCGGTCTGTGTTTACAGCTAAGGGAAGAAGCACAGACTGCATCGAAAAATATCACCCCACTACATCTACAAGGTAGAGGCAATTTGCACCGTAAAATAACACCTTAAACATGGCTTATGTACAATCCTGTTGGTCTATTATTTAATATTCCATGTGAAATAAACTAATGCGCATGGAGGAGATTGGAAGATAGTGTTTTGGAACATGTTTTGTAAACAATGTGACATATTCATATCTCATGTGTCGAGAATATGTAGGTATGTTTGTCTGTGTTCCATCCTGTAACTGTAAAGACAGACAACCGAAGGTGTGTTTAGGGGTGGGAATCATCAGTACAGCCCCCTAACTACCATGTAAAAAAGCAAATGTGCTCATGTGAAATGTTCATAAGTTCATTGATTCTGTTAAAATTGAGAAACTGGGAATATTGATACACGTGTGCTCATAAGTTCAGTTTTTCCTTCATTTAGTTTTCTTTAAACTGCTGTGAATGCTCCTTCGTATTTAGTATTGTCTGCAGTTCTTGCCACGAACTTCTGACTAGTACCCTTGTTCTCTTCTCTGTCTTACCTCTACAGCGACATCTGGTCACCCATCTACCCACCAGCCCGCACAAATAATTTCTTTAACACATCTCAAGTCAAAGCAGCGGCAAAATTTGCTAGCTGCATAGTTGAAATATGACTTATGATCGGCAAATATCAGTCTGTGGACGTAGATTAGTAACGAATGATAAGTAAACGCCATTAGAAGGAGGAACCAGAAGTGGATAGTCCAAGTAGGACAACCAAATTGGGTTAAATTGATAAAAAAAAAATAATTTTTTAGTAGCATCTAGGGCTCCACGCTAATATTTTGGGCGACCCACCGCATGATTTTTCTCTTCTTTCATCCATTCCTTCAGTGAATTGCTATATATTTGAAAATGTGGAAGTTGGAAGTCCAAACTATTTTGGGGGTTTTTTTCGAGTATTCTTTCAGTTATTCGATAAAATATGTGGTGGTTGAACTAAAGATGAGTGATTTTTTCACTCATTGAAAGACAAAACGGGAAGGGCGGCAAATATGAGATTTAGGAGTCAATTTTCACTTCTTTTTTTTTGCTTTTCTATCTACTTTTTTCCCCTACTTTGTTCTTTTTCTTTTTTTTTCTCGTTAACTTTTCTACATTAACTTTCGCTACATGACGAGATGGGGAATATGTTGATGAATTCCAGTCTTTTTACGTCGTAATACTTTGTCTGTGTATACAGCTCAGGGATGAAACACAGGCAGACTGTTTCTGATTTTTCCATTATTACCATATCTGGTTCTAATTCTGTCTTTTCTCATTCTTGCAACATATATTTTTTTGGTAAATGTGTTGCAGAATACACAGTACGGAGCTGCATCTTCTGCAGAAAGAACGTTACAACGAGAATGTTATGCTGACCAGCGTTAGACCGGATTTGCGCAAAGTGTTAGTGCTTTTTATGCGTCTTTTGCATCTATACAATGCAAAAATGCATATTGTCGAGGGGTTATATTTGTGTGCGTGTGTGTGTGGTGTATGTGTATATGTCTGTGTGTGTGGTGTATGTGTGTATGTCTGTATTTGGGTCTGTACCGATTTTTCATCTCGACATCTGCAGAGGCAACAAAAGTGAAACTTTGGGAACGTGATCTGTATCGGCCTCTATCCCTAAATGGACATTCTTTCCCACGTCGTTCCCACATACACGCCTGTGGAAATTTTGGAAAGTTGCTAACTTGGAAACCAGAAAGGCTAGAAAGCTGAAATTTTAAGGGAATGTTTTCTTACGGTTGTGGTGGTCAGTCTCAATTTTTTTAGCTAGAAGGATCTGCTGGAAAAAACAGCGCGTTAGCGGCAAAAACCTATTTTTCCGCCAAAAAAGTTTGCAGGGAACTATGCAAAAAAAGCATCTTCGTACCGGCATTCCGCGCACTGGCCAATTATTTATTTTTGAATTCAGCTGGGCGGATTTTGTAGATTTTTTGTCCTGTGAAATGAGAATCAGCGCAAAAAATGATTTCAGAGCGGAGCAAAGAACACAATGGTTAAAAAGGGTGGTGTTACATTTGGAATCACTTCAAGCTGGCAATTATCTGATTCGAAAAGAACCTGGCCGAATACAGATTTTCCCAGCTATCGATGACATGTAAGTTTTTTATACCAAAGGGAAACG